CGGTCTCTCTCACACACACACACACACACGAGCGCGTGTGAAGCATCTCACACACACACACACACACACACACACACATACACACCAAAACCCGCACGTATACGCACCAAAACCCACTCACATACGTGAGCGTGTAAACTGCCTCTCCCTCTCTCTCTTTCTCTCTCACACACATACACACACACACACACACACACATCAATATCCACACACTGCATGCTGGGTTTTTCCATCTTCATCACAATGAGTTGCCAGAAGGTGAAGAAACAAGAAGGGCGATTGAAAACAATGACGACAACGACGATAAGAGCAGCTAGGCAGGAAGAGGAGGAAGGAAGACGAAGGATGATGAGGGCCCTTTCTTTGAAAGGTTGGTCATTTGTTTTGTTTTTTTTTGTAGGTTTTTTTCTCGTATGATGTTGTTGTTGTTGTCGTGTGGGTTTTTTTCTCGTGCGATGTTGTTGTTATTAGAAGAGAGAAGGAAAAGGTAGAAAAATTATCGCTGAAACAGAGAAGAAAACAAATATCGACAACGAATCCATTTTTTCTCTATGTCCTTGGGGTTTTTTTCTTATATATAATGACATGTAAATAGAAATAACAGATAATATTTTAATATTATAACTAGATATGCACTTTTGTTTATCTATCGTTTGAATGTGAGAATTGTATAAGATTTGATACTTACCAAATTTTATTTTTTGCTCCTTCGTAACAGTTATCACCGTCAGAATAGCTTGTCAGTACAGTCCAAATGTAGAATCAGAGAATTTATGATTGTCGAATCGATCACTTCCGCTGTTTCTCTTTTCTCCTTTTTTTTTTTTTTCTTCTTCATTTTCTATTCTCTCTTTGCTTTGCGCTATGATTTCTCTCCCCTTCTTCCTCCTTTGAAGCACAACTCTCAATCACCTTCGAATAACGCGGCCCTCGAAAGTCTCATTTTCGCCTTTCTTTTCTGTTTTCTTTCTTTCACATTTTTTTCTCTCTCCGTTTTTTATCTCCTTCTTGTCTCTCACCTCACGCTGCTACTTCTTGTCTTTGGCGATCTCTACTTCCTTCCCAATCTTTTTTTTTTTTTTTTTTTTTTTTTTTTTTTTCGCTTTTTTTTTTTATCCTTTTTGCTTTCTGCTTGTCGACGCTCGGGCTCTTGCACGCTTATATACACACTCGTATGCACACTCGCATGCACGCTTGTATGCACACTCATGCACACTTGTATATATCCTTGTATGCACGATGAACACAGACAGAGATTTGTCCTCGCGCAGATTTTCTTGCTCACATATCTTCGCACAGGTTTTCTTGCTCGCATACTAAGCTTTTATAGTATGTATAATGAGTATTAAATCACACATGATATAAAAAATAGAATAACATTAAAAATTTTAAAAAAGAAGTAATTAATAATTTTTTTTTAAAAGAAGGTTAGAATTAGAAAAAAGAAAAGATAACGAGCAAAAAGCGCGACGATTATCGACATATGATCAAAGACGTAGATGTATTGGGGAAAGAATGAAGACCCGACAAGACAGGGGGGCAGTGTTTAAGACGGGAAGAGGAAAAAAAGGTAAGGAAAACAAACCCACGCAGTGTCTGACAATAAAGGGGTGCATCCATGTTGCCCCTTTTCGTAATTGATAGTGGTCAACGAGAAAGGTCCAGTTAGAAATGCAAAATCCATAGGGGTGCATGCATATTGCCCCTTGTCGTAATCGATCGCGCTCAGCAAAAAAGGCTCACTTAGAAGTGCAGAATGCAGAAAACCAAGGGGTCACATAATACAAAACAATAAAAAAAAAAAAAAAAAAAAAAGAATATGAAGCATTTTTTTGCCAGTAGCTTTGCCTGCTATCTATTTTCCTTGCCTGATCGTCAAGTGACCATCTGTTTCTCTTATCCCGTGCACTTGATTTGACAAATCGTTTCTTCTCTATTTCCCTCGTCCGATGGAGACAATGACAGCAGTGTCTATGTCTACGACGTGCTCTGATATCGATATAGCGGATCCCGAAACAGAAAAACAGAGAAAAAAAAAATTATCTCTTCTCTATTCTCCTTGTCCCATGGAGTGACAATGACAGCAATGTCTACAACGTGTTTTGATATCGATACAGAGAATCGTGAAACACAAAAATAAATAAATAAATAAATAAATAAAATTTACTTCGATGGCCTTAGTGTCTATCGAAAATTCACAATAGTATATATCATGATACAATACAAATCGCAAGCCCGCCTAGTACACTAGAGAAAAAAAAAAAAAAAAAAAAAAAAAAAAAAAAAAAAAAAAAAAAAAAAAAAAAAAAAAAAAAAAAAAAAAAAAA